TATTTATATTTTATAATAGGTATTCTTAATATTAATCTTTAAGAAGAACTTAATCTCTTAATATTTATTAAGTAACTTTAAAATTAAAGGTAATATATAATAATTCTTTTAAGTTATCTTATTTAATCTCTTATAATTTATATATAATCTTAAGGTTTTATTCTTTTTAAATATAAATAAAATTAATATTTTAGCTAAGCTTTTTAGGAGTTTTATTCGTTTATTTATCAGTTTTTTATTAATATATTTATTTATTTATTTATTTAAGTACGCTAGAGCTTTTAAAGCTATTCTAGTACATTAACCTGTATTTCAAGTAGAAAAACCCTTAGGGGAAGAAAAACCCACTTGCATTCGTAAAGCCTTCCCCGCCTTATACCACGTTATAATATAAGGCGTATTCCTTCTTATATAGGTTATAGGTACCAATTATTCTCTTTCGCCTATCCTTAACCTATTATCTTAATTTTTCTGCGGTGTATTATATTACAGCTATAATACGTGCCAGCTTAATTTTCCTCTACCCTAGAGCTCTAGGCCTGCTAGCTAATTTTTAAGGTAGGCTTAGCTTAATTCCACCCCTAGAACTCACGTGCCTAGGCACGGGTTAACCCCTTTTTTCGGGTGACTAAGCCGAAAAATTAGGGGTGCCTCCGGCCGGGTTTAAACCGGCTCCCTGCTAGTTTATTAATATATTAATAAAGTTTCTTTAACTGAACTTAAAATAATAAATAAATAAATTTATGAGATAACGTAATATTAAGTAAAAGGTTAATATTATAATTAATATTCTTATATAATAATAGAGTCTTAAAATAACTATTTATAAAGATATTCTTAAAGCTATAAAGCTTTATTAGAATATTATTTATAGAATTATACCCTTTTATTAGCTCTTTACCTCTTAAGGTAAGAAAGTCTTTCTTAGATATACTAATAATAGCGTAAATTTAAGCTATATTATAGCACTTCTTAGCGAATTTATAGGGATTATCTAGTAAGAAGCTCTCTCTTTAAAACTCGTATTATTATTTTTAGCTATATATAATTATATGTATCTTTTATTTAGCTAGTATATATATTTCTATTAAAATAGGGTTTCCCTTTAGGTTTAGGTCCCTTTTAATAATAATATATAATAGTTTTAAGGTACGTTTATACTTATAAAAGTTAATAGCTTAAATAAATACTTTATATATATTATATTAGAGAATTATAAGGGTTTTAATTAACTATAATAATAAG